AAACTGAACCAGATCTCCTAAATTACGACAAGACTTTGGAAAGCTGGGTGTTGCAAGCAGGAGCCAGCAGCACCCTGTCTGTTTGTGGTACAAGGCATCCTTGAGTACTCTAAGCACATGAAGGAAGCAGGTTTCAGAAAAATGTGATAGGCAAAGTCCTGCCTCTCGCAGCTATCCAGTGATTTTAGATACCTCCTGAGAACCGACTAAGAGCTAAACGTAGGTTTTATCTCTGAAACAAAGGTTAAGGTATGGAAACACTTTAAGACACCGCCTTCCAAATAGCTGCACTTAAAAGCATTGAAACTCTGATCTGAACTTCAGCGGCTCATCTGCTCCCTGCATGCATGCCTGAGTTGTGCTGACAAGTGAGAGATGGCGTCAGGCAGAAGTTCTCCCGAAGCTGACACCAGAAACTCCACTGTTGATTCTGCTGGCATTTCATCTTCAGATTATGCATGTTCTGTTCAGTAGGAACTCCCCCCCCCTCCCTCCCCCCCAGTTTAAGATAAAATTATTACATGTCACTGGCCCAAATCTCTAGGTTGTGGGCCACTTCTTGCAGACATAACCCTGACAGCCGGTCATTAAAGTAGGGCTTGCCTTACTTTTAAGCCTATACAAACCCACTCACCTCTGGGCTGGTCACACTAGAGAAAATTTCTTATTCTCTACTTTATGTACTTCCCACATTCCACTTTGGGATAGCTATTTTAGGCCTCCTTCCTTGCTTCTTCCATACAGGTGTGAAAGAAGAACCTTGCGAGAGGTCTCCTTTTACCGTGGGCAGTGCTAATCACAACAGAGCGCATTACCCACATCACACACACATCACTCTCACAGTGCCAGTAGCACCAGTGCACTTTGGCTCCCCGGGAGGTTGGCAGATGTGGCAGGAAATATTTGTGCGCCACAGATGAGAGTGACTGCATAAGTTCAGTGCACAAAAGGTGCCTCCACTGTGCCTCGCAAAGCAGCAGAGACCTGCAGAGACCCATGAGAGCTCATCTGCTGGCAGCAGTCATCATCAGGACCTCACTGCAAACCGTTCTTGCTTTGGGCCACTTCCTTAGGCCATAGGTGTCTGTAAGACAACAATGATGCCACCCTGTGGCGATTCTGAGCATCAGGAGTGAAAAAAGTGATCCCTGCTCAAGCCTTAATCGCTTAGGAGTGACTGCTGCTCCCAAACGTGCTGTTTGGTCCCTAGAAGGGAAGGGAAGGGAAGGACACGGGTGCTGATCAGCAGGCACCATGCTCCAGCAGCAGTGCAGTAGCTGTGGGCCGTGAAATGCCGGGAGGGACTTGCAGGCACAGCGGCTGGTCTGGCTGTTTAGATGAATTGCTGTGGCCAAAAAGAAATGAATGACCTCTCCTTACACACTTTGCATTTCACACCCTCCTACCTGCTTTGCGGAGAAACAAGATGCTAGAACAGGAAAGACCTTGGCTTTCTGCCTTGGAATTATGCAAGGACACTGCAAGCTCTACAATACGGTCACTTCCCCTCAACTCAGCGAGCGGTAGCGTCCACAGAGGGCTGTTCCTTACCCAGATACAGAACTGATGGCCATATGATGAGTATTCATCACCATAACATGCAGTGTCTGTACAGCACCACGTTACTTCCTGCTAGAAGTGATCACCTGTGACCAGAAATTCAGGAAAACCTGAACAACACTCTTAGTACTTAACTACAATGATTTAATTCAGGGAACTAATCTGATAGATTTGTTTTGACTTCCTCATAGCAATCCAGTTCCTATAAGCTGGCTATTCTTCGTCCAAGTTTCAGCACAGACTACACATCTGCAAGAACCTGACAACATCAACGGCAAACTCAGCCTCAGGAAGCCCACCTGGGCCTGGGAGTTTGAGTTCTCAAATCATCCTCAGTGCTTAGTCAGGCCCAGGCCGCTGCTTCTTGGCAGTGATACAGCCAGATTTACACATACCTTTTCCAGTTTGCACAGCAGGATTAAGTGATTTATGCCTAAACTGGAAAAGGAACTTTTTTTTTTCCCCATTATAGGATCTTCAAAATCAGAATGCCCTTTGCTCAAACTGTACCAGTTTATGCTTTGAGCTACTCAGTGAGGAAACAAGCTCCAGAGGCAGTGTTCTAGCTTAGTATTACATTAAAACATTAATTGTGATGGGACTTATTTGATTCATGTCAGACAAAATGAAGGCTTTGCAGAAGCTAAATTATTGTTTTGTTTCACGTGGCCTGTTGGGTGGTGATGGTAAGAAATCATTTCAAATAGGAACAGAGCCTAGGAACAGGCTCCCAACAGGACAACAAAGCTTTCTTTTCCTTAGTGCGAGGCCTGCTAAACCAGCAGGCAATTGGTTGAGGGGCTCACACTTCAAGAAAATAAGTTCTCAGGCAATTCCAGTTCAGTCTTGCTTGCCCCACACCCCCTTTGCAGATGCCCTTCTCTTTGCTCCCCCCGGTAGGAAGCAGTGAGAGGCAGAGCCAGCAGATGGCAACCCACTCAGAGGTTTGCAGTGCCTGCTGGAGCCCTGCTGCCCAGCAGCGAGGGCAGCCCAGGGCAGCTGCCTCCCTGCCTTGGCAAGGCAGAGAGAGGACCTGAGCAGTTTTGTCACTGCAATTGAATCCTGGGAGGAGATTAGAGGCTCTGGAGGATATCCAGCTGGTTTGGACTCTACTTCAGCCACTCTGCAGTATTACTAACAACCCACTCTGATGGTCTAATTCATTCCCTCACCCTGAGGTGGCTGCTGATCGTCATGGCTCAGTGTTGGTCTCCCTTTTTACTCCCCAAACCCTTGCAGAAGAGCAGTTTCCTTTGAGCAGCACCTTCTGAAGTGCACGTTTATATTGACACCCACTGGCATTTCAGGCAGAGTATACAGCCACACACAGACCATTTTCTACATATCCCCATGCCCGAGGTTTCCTTTTATCCAGCTCTAGGAGAACCTCTACTTTACGCTGTAAATTACTGTTCAGACATTTCCTTACCTCCGACAATTCATGACATGAGGTGTTTTAGGGTTTATGTGCAGAAAACATTTTGAATAGCGCTTTAAGTGTTCACATTCTTCCTAGATGTTTAAAGGCTAGGGGTCAATGGGTCTGATGGTCCTTGCGAAGGTAAAATGAAAGCTTCTTTAGTAGGAGCAATGCTTTATTCCAGCCCATAGACACAGGACCAGGGTGTCCAGGTGTACATCAGAACCTCCAGGACCAGAGCCAGCACACAAATTCAGACAAGCCACAACCCGCTCTGCATCCATGTAGCTGGCAGCAGCTGAGCTGTATGCTGAGAGCCAGGAGAAAGATGCTGCCTGCCGGCTACACCTTGCCAGCCTGGCCCCCACAAACAGAGCACATGCAGAATGTTTCTCCCCTCATACAGGAGCCCAGCCTTTTGTAGAGCCTGTGCTTCTGCATTTACAAAGGGTGAGTTTAGATCTGCAACTGCAAAAACTGATCAGTCTTCCCAGCAATTAAACCCTGACAGCGCTTCAGGAACTTGAGGTTTTTATTTTGGTTTGGAGAAGGTTTGAAGAACTGAAAAACATGATTTTTTCCCATATAGACTGGTAACTCCCAAGCAGAACTCAGCAGGGAAGTACTACTGAAAAAGCAACCATTTTGGAGTCATTAAGGGGGAGATGAGTAAGCTGTCTAGCAAGGGAGGAGATTACAGCAACATCCTGCTAATTAGTAGGGGAGGAGACAGGAGGTCCCATTCATTGAACTACTGCTTTTAATTAGGATCTGGAGTCACTGTGTTGGAGGGCTGCTTTCCACCCCCTCATCCAGGGGAGATGTTAGCAGTGGTTTTATGTTAATTTATGTTGGCCAAAAACCTAGCAATTTTAGGAGACACAATTAGATTTCAGAGGACAGCTTGTTAATATTCATTTCGGCTTCTATAAATACATTCCTAATCCACTGCAGGATTTAGTGGGCTGTGGATGTGTCATTGTGCACATTCGATTTGTTACAGAGCAGGGGGTTGTGTTGGGTCATGTGGGTCTCTAAGAGAGGAGCGAGCCCACGCTGTGACAGGGATGGATGATAACTCACTAGCTGTGTTGTGGAAGGCGGTATATTTGTGTTTGTGCTAGAGTGATAAGTTACTTGGCAGGCCCCAGGACAAGCACACATGATGTCTCAAGCAGCTGCTGCAAGTACAGTCTTCACCTCCTGGGCTTTCCTTACCAACTTCAAGTTACTGTTCCTAGCAGAGCAGGCAGCTCCCAGTTTTTTCCTTATGTTTCTTCATGGCCTCTCGCATCCCTCACAGAGAAACTGTTTCAGAGCCTCTCCTTTGCTTCTCACACATGTTTAGTAACTACATTTGTACACCTTTGCTGCAAAAGGAGGTAGATAGCTCTAAACCAGACTGCATTTGTTAGAAAGCAATTGACCATCAGTTTAAGCTTTGCTGCTCCCCACCAAAACTCTCCTCTCCAGTTCATCAAGAGCCCATCAGAGTACAGACGCCCAAGAAGAGGCACGATGTTATAGACACGCCTTTTCCCCACCACACACAGCCCCATCACCATGCACTGCTCATTCCACACACTGCCACACACTTTCCCAGGGATCAGAACTGGTTTCAAGGTAAAATTTTACCCTGTGCGTGCCCAACCCAGTTTCAGCCAGAATATTCATTGGTTTGGCTCAACTACTGCAAAGTCTCTGCTGTTTGCAAAATGTTCAGAAGCTACAGAATGGGATCCGTGAGGAGAGCCAGTCATATACGAGACCTAATGCCCGGGTTCTAAGAAAATAAAAGATCTCTAGAGCACTGAAACCTAGCATGCTGCACGAATTCACAAGTCGGAATAGGCTGCATCATGGCACAGGCTGGCAAAAGAGCTTTTGATTCCTTTCTGTTCTACATACCAGCTGGAAAAAAAAAAAAAAAAAAAAAAAAAAAAAAAAAAAAAAAACAGCCATGGGGTGGTATGATGCTAAGGGTGAGCAGTCCCAGAGTGGAGGAGAGGTGCTATTATACCTTCATGAGAAACCGAGCTGCTCCACACCTCAGCCAGGGAGTTCTGGAGTGGATTCAGAGGAACCTTAATGAAAGAGGTCTTTGCTAGCAGAAAACACATCCTTCAGAAATGAAGCAGGCAATAACTCATTCTGGTATAGCTATTCCCTGAAGCAAATTGCATTGGATTTGTTACTGAAATAGCTAGCTCGTTACCCCAGCCTGTGGCAGAAGCAGCAAGTGCCAGCCATCTGGAGTGCTAGCTGGCCCACTGCCAGCAGAGCTGTGATGCTTTGGAAGAGGTGGAGAGCAGGGGTGAGTTAGAGCAAGGAGCACAAGCATAGGAGAGACTGAAGGGAGAGCAAGGGAAAGGACATATAAGAAAAAATAAGGAAGAGAGAAGTACTCTTAAAGAAGCTGTAAGTGATGCCTAAGAGGAGCAGATGTTGGAAACAAGCTGATTTCCAGTCTGGTTGCTAGCATAAGATAAATAAAGAGGTGACCTTACCACAGAGGAGGATTGGAAAAAAAAAAAAAGTGTATAGAAGCTAAAGAACCATTCAGGAAAATATTCACCCCCCCCTATACTGAGTTGGGAAACTCCAGAACACAGTAAATGCCCAGACCCAAGCACCAGAAGCACAGCAGGGCCATCACAGCACGATTTTCTGCCATATTTGCATGCAGACTTTGTTTCTCCCACTGCTGGAGCCCAGAGTCTAATATTTGGTGTACAACCCTCCTGAACACTCTGCTGCCCAAGTGGCTCATGCCATCACAGAGATTTTCCTTACTTGATATTCTGATGCTGCAGTATGAAAAACACACAGGTGAAGCTAGGTCTTTTTCACAGCCCAAAATTTGTTTTCAGATTAAAACTCCATATTGTGACTAGCTCACCAGCACAAGAACAGCCACTGTCTGACAATCTGACAACACACAAGCTTTTTTCAGCAACATAGGCTAAAACAATGCTATTTATTTTATACAGAAATATGCTCTAGAGTCCTAATTCTTAGTGGCTCCCAATTTTTGGTGGCTCTAATAGAGGAAAAAGTCACCTACAGAACACACCAAGTAACAGCCCCTGGTAAAGCTTTACCTACCTTCTGAATAGAAGCTTGCTGGCAAGGATTGGTTCAGAGCAGAGGCCAGGTGGAGCTGCTCAGAGTACTGAAAGGAAATTGGGCGGGCTGATTTCCCTGCTGTTTACTGGTATCAGGCTATAGTGGATAAATTGCAATACTTGAATATTGTTTAAATTTTACAACAGCTTGCTACACAAGAATGCTGGTTTACTTTCCTGCTATTATGGGCTCTTAAAATCTGAGATCTTTGTGCTGCAAGGAGTGGCAGTTCAAGTCTAATAAATATAGAAGTCGAGACAACCACGTTTGCCTTCCCTTGGCAAAAGGATATAAATCAGCCTATGGCTCTATCTTCCTGAAAAGTCAAGTTGTCTAGTGAGTGTCTTCCCACTATTCTCCCCTATTTTTCCCTCCTCTTTCCCTCAGGCTCCCTAAAGAAAATTACTGTTTATGAAACTGCATGTGAGAGTCATGCCTGCAGAACGCTAATGCAATATTGCTGTGCTGCAGGGCTGGGATGCTTTCTCTGGAAGCAGATGAGAACAAAGCTTTCTCTGTAAGGAAGAGGCAAGCTGTCTTTTAGATGAAACATGACAAAAACTTTTGCCCTTTTCCCCAAAATGAAAATGTGCTAGCTTGGGCTGATTCTAGGGAGGAAAAGTTATATCACCAGACAATCAGGAGGCCAGCAGATAAAACTGATTTGGTTGGCCACAAACTAGAAAGCTAGGTCAGGTCAGGGTTCATCCAGTTCTGTGTCCCTCAGACACAACAAGACAGACGCTTTCTGAAGCTGCTGTAAAACCTCAGTAGTAACACTTGGGCACTAACCTACCCCTGGGTTGTTTGCCAGCTCCAGATGGTTAGTGGTTGCTCCATGCTGTAAAGGTTTGGGGGTCCTTCTGCTCAATTATAAATTTATAAATACCTCATTTGTAGTATTTATTGTCTAAACAACTTCCGAAATGTTTCAGAGCCCTGGGATACTTGACAGGATCCAGAAACAATGAATCCGAGATGTTATTTCAAAACTTCCAGCTAGCATCTACTATACAAAGTGGTTGTCACTGGATATTCCAGTTTATTACTGCCTATTGATGCTTACTGCTGTCTGCAAATGCGTATTGACACCAAATAAAAGAATGTGATGGGATATGCAGGGAAGATGTGGGTGATATTTTTGGCTTCTAGCATGTCAATCCATTCTTTTTCAGTGACAGAAATCTCAAAGGTAATGAAATTGTTATTGCTGTGAGTTTAAACATCAGCCAGATCCTGTACTTGGTGAGAGCTGAACCAACCTTTTATCACTGCAGGGATTTCACACATAAATGGAAACAGAATGTGGTTCTACCCTCTGTACCTCAACAACTGTCCTGAGCAAGAGATGGGTAGCAAGGAAAAAAGAGCCCTGGCATTCAAACAGCTTGCTAAGGAATCCCCATCATGTCGTCTAAGAAACGGGAAACCTTCTGGATACAGCAAAGGGAAATTTCCAGTGAAAACTCACAGCTGTTTCTATTAGGAATCCAAATGTGCTTTGAGTTCAGAGGCAACGGGTGACTCCGAACAAGCTGGTTTGCAGGGAGTGTTAACTAAATGCAGCAGTTTGATCTCTAGCCCTTACAGATGCAGAAGTGAAATCTTCAGAAAGTTGTTGTAGTCCATTTTACAGGCCACAGGGGCAATTCAGCAGAAATTTTTGTAGTTGTCCCCAAGGCATGAGGGCTGGTAAAGTAACGTCTGTTGCAGTAAACAAAGGGTATGGCAGCTTTCCTCTTCTTCTTTCTTTTCTTCTTCTGCTCTTGCTTTCAGTTCTCCAACTGGCACAACTTCCATGGCATGGCTGAGCACCAGGCACTGCCGCAGTGCTTGAGGGTGGTTTGGAGCTACACTGCTTCCCCACCAGGCAATTCAGAGCCTGCCTCAGTCCAGGTACGGTCCTTCGGTATCACAGACCTGATACCCTGGTTATGTGGAATTTATCTTCAAATAGACTGGTAGTTTATGGAAGCCAAAAAGAATGGTCAAGTCCTGAGCTGGATCCTTAGTGTAACATTTCAATACAGATGTGGAGCAAATAGCCAGTGCATCACTATGATTTCTAATGGAAAAATATCCAAGCTTAATCTGAAGACATCAACAACAGAAATCATCATGGCCATGGTTCTTTTTTCAAGTGGCAACTTGCCTGCAGGTGCTGCATCACATTGGAGTAGTTGGACTATGCAGTGCAAAAAGTGTCTGCTGGCTCTTACAGAGCAACTCTTTCAGCTACAGGGGAAAAAGGTTGTGCTTTCCAGACCAAGTCTTGCTGTTCTTCATGTCCAAGACAACACTTATTAAAACTTTAGCCAGTTCTTTCAAGCAAAACCTACTAAGGTAAAGAGAAACATAGCTGAGTAATGGGAAAAAAAAATAAATAAAATAAAATGTAAGAAGCCAGAATAAGGGGTCCCCAGTGTAACAGCTGAACCCGTCATCTCTCTGCTGCCTGAGAACAGGAGATGCTGCCTGCAGTAAGTGACCAAACAGCAATTTTATCTTTGTATATTCTTCCAGAAATGAATATATCTCTCCTCTTTATGGCAGAATCTCCAGGACCTCTTTAATGAAAAGCCTTTTTGTTTCCCTAAGGTCATCTATGCTGGGAAGAAGGCCATGCTTTGCTAGTTTCAGCCCTCTAATTAAGAAAGGGGTTGTGTGAGTAAGCAGGTAGCTTGGGAGTCAATCTTTTGTGAACAGAGCAAATTTCATTTGTGCAAAGAGAAACCTGGGGCTTAGGCTGAATTATCAAATGAATTATAACAACAGATCACTTGCCTTTGCAGTGATTTAATTATCAAAGATTTTCCAAATGAAGGGGAGGGGGGAACCAGAGGAGGGACAGAGCATTTCCTGAGGGAAATGTCAGTTTGGCAGTTACACCCCTTACCTGTGGATGTCTGGCCAAGGTCATTAAGGGGAGGTGATGTGTTGCGATCATTTGTGTTGCCAAGCGCCAGCTTCTGCTTAATGTGACATATCTATAGCCACATAGAAATCAATGTGTAAATCAAAGTATTCAAGAGACAACAGAGCACGGAAGGCCATTTTTGTCACCGGAAGAAAGACAGTCAGCCACCATCATGTGTTTTAAAAGCACATCAGACAGAAAGATGGGAGATCACAGATTTAAGCAAGTTTAAGTGGTGAACTGAGGCACAGAAAACTAAATCCTGGGATGGATGTAGAAGAGAAATCTAGGACAAAGCTCAGAGCTGTAACCAAAAACAGGCCTGATCTTCAACATACTACCCAGTAGGAATCATTTCTAGGAAAAAGTGTTATATTATTAGTGGGCATTTTTAGGATTACCTAGAAGGTGTCCAAACATCCAGTTTAAAGCATCATGAGAAGATGAAGAGCACAGAAGACTACTGTAAACAAGCTGGTCACACCAGCCTAGTAGCAATACAGAATCCAAAAACAGTGGGATCAAAAAAATATACTCAAGACTTTTAAGCATAGCTGCATGAAAATTGGCAGTATGGCATGGATCTCTGGAAAAAAGAAGAAAAGAAAAAAAAAAAAAAAAAGAAAAATAAAAGAAAAAGAGAAAAAAAGCAATGCTTAGTAGAAAAAGATGGAAATAATGGGCAACCCAACATTATCTGTTCTCTTAGGATATTACATCCACATCCCAGCCTCCTTCCTGACACTGAAGGGCAATGGATCATGAATTATCAGTCAGCCCTTTGGTATGCACTGACCACATCTACAGTGTTTTTGGGGACAGTCACATTATCTCACCCATAACCAGAGCTTTTCAGCGTTGTATTTGATATGCTGCATAGAAACCTAGTAAGACATGGTTACAGTTCCCAGGCACCTTCAGTGCTTACTGTCTGAGCTCGCTACCATTGCTCTTACTTGCTCATGGCACTAGCTCCAGGCCTGGTATCCAAATCCTAATCAGGAACCCAGCTCAGTTCAGATTCACGTACCTTTCAAACAAGGCAAACCACCTCTCCCATCATTAGCTTTAAGTTAGCAATAATTGACGTATCATTTAAATATAACCCCAGTTTATCCCCATTTTACCCCACTGAATTGAAGATTGCAGCAGGGGGCAAAGAAGCTTCAACATGAGAAACTAAAAATGGTGCTCAAGTCATTAGGAATGTTGGGAGGTATTTCAGTGCACGGAAACCTGAGAAAGATCAGGCTGGGGTAAGTGAAATGCTGCTGTTGCTGCTTGAATGAATGGCACTGGAATTTTTCTGTTCGTGTACACTGTCTCTTCAGTTGCTTCTTTGTAGTTCTTTCAGACAGGTTAGCATGTTCCCTGTGCAAGGAGCTCACACTCTTTCTCAGATGAATTATCCAAAGTGCCTCAGACACTTCAACATTTCTTGTCAGACTCACAAAACAAGTCTTACCTCAGATGGCAGTGAATCCGATGTGCCCTGACGGTAACAAGCAGGGCAACAAAGAGAATCATTAGATGTCAGTAGAGTTGAGAAAGATCTCAGTGTCCCACTACCAGAAAAAATAGGATGCGTCTCCAAAAGTGGCAGTCCTGACTGCTGCATACTGGAATGTGTGAATGTAGAGCCAGATGTGCCAAGTTTTATTAACACAGGTTTCCTTTGAAAGGAGTAATTCACTTGCAGACCTTACAATTAGGTCTGAGACTCTGCTTTTCTGTGACAAAGAGCAGTAACGAAAGATGGGAATATGTTCACCCAACTCACTGCTGGGCAGACACACAACCAGATGCAGAGAGAAGGTGTAAATCTAATCAGGGGACTTGTAGGATTGCATCTGTCCCTTCTGGCATGTTTTTTTCCACCTGCTTTTCCTTACTGACAGTTGAATGCTTGGAATATCCACTGCTTACCTGAACATACGGTGGGTGAGAAAGCTGGGTGTGAATTGACCGGTGCAAGGAAGCTTGAAGGAGCTGCAGCCCACCACCACAGACGGTGACTTTCCAGAATGTCCTTGGGGTTATACCTGGAACACAGATGTGAATTCCTGGATGTCATTTGGGGCCAGCAAGAGTGAATCAGACAGTAATTTTCTGCACTGTCCCAAGCTAATTCTGTAGTGTGGTTTAAAACAGCTGGGGGGCAGGCTAAAGCTTCTTGTTTGGTTGGTTGGTTTGTTTTTTTGACCAAGAAAAGGTACATTCATTTTGGTGAGAGTGGCCATTTCTTTTCAGTCTGGTATGGCCTGGAGCTTTCCTACAGTCCCTAGGAAACAGAGGAAAGCTCATGCTGGGCCCTGGTAAAAGAAGCCACAAGAATCAGATACTTGCGACCAACAATAATGTTCTGCAGAGGAGCTAAGGGTGGCTGAGGTTTTGCTGTGGCACTGAGTGATAAACATTTGCTAACCCTGCTAATGAGATATGCAGACACTTAGTCAATCTTGGAATTCAGGAGCAGTTGGCTGATACCCAACCAACCAAAAAAGCAGATGCTAAAACCTTGTTTAATATTCTGCTGACAGTGCTGTGAAGGTTACATGTGAATAAATGGGAAACAGCTGCCCACTGCTGCATTTCCACTGCAGTGCTGTCCAATATGACCCACTCGCTGAAATATGAACATTGCGGTAAATTGGCTCTGCTCCCGTGAACTTTGTGTGAGCCTGAGGTGGGCTGGGGGTGGGGAATGATGGCTTGGAAAGAAGAAGGATGGACAATGCACAGCTTTCTGTACAGTGATATAAGGAAAAAGAAAGAAATCTAAGCAGGGCAGGAATGGGGGCTGCGGATTGCAGACACAAATGGTGCTAAAGTAAGAAGGGGTAGTTCAGACTTGAGGAACTGACCAAATTGTAGACCACCTCCCTTCCGTCCTTGTAAAAGCATTTATCTTGACTGCCAGCGGGTTTTGAACGAGGCTGCTCCAGCATCACAAGCATGAGCTGCTATATTGTAAGCTACAAAGCCTGTGAGCCATGGCTAACAGGCCAAACTCTGCTCCGTGCGGAGTGACCAGAACTTGTCAGTGGGCTACACCAGCCCACACCTGGCTGCAGGCTCAGGGCTTTGGCAGTGCTAACATCCAACACTGATACGGTGAATTCCTGCAGGTCTGCCACCTGATGATGTTTGGCAGGGTAACGCAACCCCAAGGACACAGCACCTTTGGGTGCTGCAAGCTGTCTGCTAGCGTCCAGAACTCTGCAACTCAGCTTTGGCAGTCATGGAACCGGGAGTACATCAAGCACTGGTGGCTGGGCTAATGGTCAAAGAACCAGTCCCTATGCTAACGTCAGCCCAGCTGTGCAGGGGATGCACAAAGGTTAGCTCCAGCCCCTGGTGGTGATATTAAAGTGCAGCAAAGTTCCCTTTGGTGCTCAGGACTGCACTCAGTGTGCAGGCCGGGAGCTAGCTGCAGTGTGAGGGATGAAGTCAGCAGCAGCACATTCACAAACAGCTCCTTCAAGAAGCCCAGTTCTGGGAACCGAGCACAGAGATGATGGAAAAGTGCCCAGCTGAAGAAACCGAGGCTCCGCCAAGGAGTGACCATGGTGCAGCCCAGCAAAGCATTGCTATCACAAGCTTTGGTCATCAATTCAGAGGCTTTGAATCTGACCAATACGTGAATGACCTCTTCAGTTATCCAGCTGATTAACTCAGTCATTTGCCCTAGGCGAGGCAGAGCACTCACTGCAGTCTGGTGGGGTCCACATAAAGAGATGTCTACAGAGTGGCGTAAAAAAATCTTATAGCTTTTGATTTTGGGTCTGCTCCAAGATCATGGAAGTTGAGATTTCCTCATTTTAAAGCAGTGGACCTCAGAGGTCTAATTTCTTACAGTGTAATATCATTTAAGTGCACACATTTATTCCCAGGATAATCTTAGCAGGACTGACCCCTGCTAGAGTCCCAGCACATCATAACCACTGTACATGCTCCTGTTACAGCCTGGGACCAGCAGCTTGTTGAATTATTCCTACATTTACTCTTTTCCTTAACTGTTTTGAACTTGTCATTAGAAGAGTTGAAGCAGGAAGAAATATTAATGATAAATTGTATGGAGAAGCAGATATTGTGCCTTCTATTGCACAAGCCTCAAATCCTAGGAAGTGGATACAGGGATTCTGTTGGCATTAGCAGGTAAAGTATCAAAAGGCTCTCTCTTCAAGAAGTAGAAATGAAGCAATGACACAATATTTCCTACAGCTGTTGTCAGGGGAAGGGTTTAATGCCTTTGTGTCTCCAGTGGGAGTCATGCAGATATATGGAGAATGGATGTATGAATTTTCAAGTCCTTTAAAGTAAATACATGGAATAGCTATTGAAATAATAAGAGGGACCCGCCAGAGAAAAGGCTCGTTTTCAGCAGTAGCATGGCATCCAGAAGGTCTCTCTTTTCAGTCTTCTCCCCTGTGCAATGCACATCTTCTTCGGCCACTGATGCCCAGCAATGAGGCTTCCTACAGCTGCCCAGGACAAGAAGCCTCTTCAAGAGCATCACCTGAGTGCAGTACAAGATCTGCAAATGGTCAGTGTTTGGATCTGATGCCTGGGCACTAGAGAAGCCTGGGTTTTAAGAGGCTGGGAGAGTCTGGGAATGTGGATTTGGGGCATGGATAACACCTCCTGCTTTCAGCAGGAACTGAGAGGTTGTATGGAGTGGTGGGCATGAGAGGCCTGCGAGGAGAAGAACCAGACAACCAAGCAGTGCATTTCATGTGTGCCATGCGGGAGAACAATATGGGGAATTTTTCTGGGTAGAGCTGTTTGTCCGTATCAGAACTATGTCCTCATCTATGAACAGCGAAGCAATAAAGCAACTTTTGTTGATAACATGCTAAAAATAAAGAGGGAGATCAGTCTTCTGTTAAAATGGAAGGAAGTTCAAAAAGGTCTTTGTCCAGTCTCCTCACAGAACGGTGGCTTCCCAGACAGCTTGATCCTGGAGACAGTAGGGAAATGTATTTTGTGGCACACAGGCTGGGGGGGGGAACCAAAGCTGGCTATTAATAATCAAGCACATTAGTTAAGCACACGGTCACACAGCAACATTTATTCTTTGTTTCACCAAAAACGAACAGTAATTAAGTGGAACTGGCCGGTGAGCTTGTTCTGTTACTGACCCAGAGGCTGGGGAAGAGGGAACTTGTGACTGCTATCAGACAGGCATTAAATGGAAACACTCCTGGCTGTACCATAAATACACAGCAACAGCCGTCACAGATCAGACCAAGTCTGTCTCAGCTGACATCCTGTCTCCAGTGTTGTTGGAAAGGAGTACATGCTAAAAGCTGTCGTATGAAGAGGCCTCCAGTGAAACAGTGAGAACAAACACAGTCACACTGTGCGGTTGTTCTTCGTTTGGCTTCACGCTGCCTTCTCTGCTCCTCTTCGGTACTCTGAGAGATTTAACTTTGGAACTAGGGCTTGAGATTCATCTCTAAGCAGAATTCACTGGTAATGTTAGGTTCCTACTGTTGTACCTAAGCTGACAAACAATAGCATATTGTCTTTTCATCCAATGAATCACAGATTTCAAAATTGTTTGTGCCGTAACTCTTTTCCTGCTCCATCAGTGTCATAGCATAAATTGGGATACGGTTGCACAGGGCCAGAGTAATGCATGGGGCCTGTGACCCAGCACAGAGCTCTGAGGCTCTTTGGCCATAAGCAGCAGATGTTAGGGTACAGGTGCTTTGAGGCAGAGGCAGGAGCACGACTTAGGGACTTGAGGCAAGAGAAGGGATGCTGATATTGGGAAGGGTCACTCCTGGGAAGTGGATTAAAAAGAAATACCTGAATGGCTGTTTTATGAAGCAAAGGAGTACAATACAGGAAAGGAGTAAAGCTCCCACTCTGATGACCTTGACTGTTTTCCACGATAAGCACCAAGGGGCTCCCGTGCCCACCTGCAGGTTAAATCTGCATGTAATTGAGGCCTTATTCCCAGACTGATTTGCGATGTTGAAATTTGCCCCAGGATACATGTCATATCCCTCTGCAGCAGAATCCTCAGCACACAGAGGCTGTCAGGAACATCTTATTGTAAGGTGAATTTTCCTGTGTTGTAGGGGTAGCCACAGGCAGAGACAACGGGGAGGAGCAGCACAGATACCACACACTTTTTCAGGCCCATGGTCCAGTTCAAGTCCCATGCTTGAGCAAGGCCATATTGAGTGTCTCCAGATGAAGGTGTCAGAAGCTCTGAAGCAGATGTATGTGAGATAATCTGAACTCCTGGAAGATTTAATCCAGTGTCCTTTAATCCAATGCTATGCAGCAAGGCCTTTTTTATCATTTGAAGAATTTTTTAGCTTGATAACTCTGCTAACTCTTGGCAGTGGGTGAGGATTTCTGTGCTGTGCTTTCCTGCATAGAACAGATTATTTGAACAGTTTATTCAAAACTGCAGTGAAAAATGGTGGCAGAGCAGAGATGGCAGTGTTTGCATCTACTACTGTTTTTCACTCTCTTGCTGCAAAGATTTCAACCATGTTTCCTCCAGACGGGTTTAGAAAGAGTTCATCCAGCCCTGGATGGAAATACTGATATCTGAAATGTTGAAGTGTGTGGGTGGGCAAAGTCCTCTTAGCTGCATATTTTGCAAATGAGAACTGAGAAAAGGGATTTTCTTCTTTAAGACTGGAACTAAAACAAACAAACCAAAGAAATAAAAAATGATGTAATGGGGTCATCACAAAATTGTTTTCCTTTCAGTATAAACTGTCATAATTATTATTTAATGATTGCAATTGAAGAATGGTCCCCCTGAATATAGGCATAAGCCCATCTGTTAACTGTGAATCATGCAAATAATGTGACATCCGAGACTTCAGGGAAGGGTTTAACTGTTTTGCAGCTAGCATTCCCAATACTCTACCCCTGTACATTCAGCTTTATGGTCTGCCTGGGAGGACTTGGTTGGAATTCAGGTAGTATCTGTTCATGCTTTAAAGATTATGAAAGCAATGCCTCATGGGCCCCTGCCAAGAGTGAGTTAGTGAATACCTGAGTGCTAGCTCTGGGCCCAGACCAAAATACCACCCTGCATAACAACGACTTCCAGCTTTAGGAAAGTTCTGCTCAGGATGAGCCCTGAAGAAAAAGCTTCTTACTGATCAGCTTCATAATCACGGTGCTGCCTGGCAAGTTCAGGGGGTATCTTGAGCCGTAACAGGAGGAAAGGCACATGTTTTAACATGTGTGACTGTGTCTGAGACTCTCCTCGGCATCATCTGTGCTGTGAAGCACCTTTCAGGGAATCACATCTAAGCCTCAATGCTGCAAGCTATTCCTGCAGGCAGAAATCTTTGTGAGGCCCACAGGAGTCAAAGGGATCTCTGCACAGAGAGGCCCAGCTCTGGGTGGGCTGAGATGGGCTTTGTGGCGACAGCATGTCCAGTACCTTGTAAGTGACTCACGCACTTGCCCGTAGACCCTTGTTAAGTGGCACTGAAGGCAGTGCTAAGCTGTCCACAGCCAGAGCATGGAGCCAGACTGTGGAGAAACGTGGGAATAAAACGTGAACAAGTAGATTTTCAGGCTCCGTCAAGAATATCCTGAGTTTCAGAACCAGGCAGAGCACCAAAGCACAAAACGTGCACATTTCATGCATGCACACAGTTCAGGTGTTGGTTTTGATGCTGAGGTCCATGCTGAGTCTCCCCTGAGGAAACAGCCATGCTATGCAGGAAAGAACAAAATTCTGTTCTCAGCAAAAGTTGAACTGTCCACATGCGTTATTTGTCCATCACACAGAGAAACAACCTAGTCTCCTTGTTATCTTGTCAATAAAATAAGGCCCAGTTATTAGCAATTACTACGCATTGTCATCAATCATGCTAAAATCATCCGGTAAGCAGTGCAGATGGGCTGTAAGACAAGTTTGATTCTTAGTGCTAAATCAAGTGTCTGCTTTAAGTGACTAAAACGGAGTGGCTCACCGCCATGTGAGCAACTCTCAGGTTGTCTCTTAGCAACTGGCCAGCCAAAAACTGATGATCAGCACATCTGAAAGCTTCTCCAGACTTACCTGAAGCTCCTGGGTCTTGGAATTGTGCTGAACTCCCTAAAAATAGGCATTGCTGCAAGAGCTGTCCTACATACAAGAAAATAATCATAATATTCTATACCATGGGCTGGAGAGCAGGCTCTGTTTTAAGTTCTGTCCCTAACTCAGTGCTCAACTGATTTTTGTCAGGGTCCACAAGGATGTGTGTGGGACCTTGGTGGAGGGTGGCTGCATTGTACTTTAAGCCTGGATCCAGGTGGAACCTGCTTTTTAGATAAACCTCCCTGCCAGGGGTCTCTACATAAGCCCCCGCTCTGCCATCTGGCCCTACCTGAGCTAGATCTCAGCAACTTAACTAGAGCACTGCAAGTCTCTTCTGTGAGTGGTGTTTAACCATTTGGGGGATCTGCAACAACCTTCTTCACGAGCTCACTCATGAAAATATAGCTTAGGACTGCTTCAGACAGAATTCTCTGCAGGACAATGTAGCTGTTCACTGACAACAGTAAGGCAAATCAGAAGTGTTCCTAAAAATTAACAGGAACTTCAGACCAGGCTGAATTTCTTCAGTTATCTGTGGGAGAATGAGTTTGTATAAATAAATGAAAGCATTGCAGAATTTTTGAAGTTCAAAACAAAGCCAAATTGTCAAAATAGCCCAAAGCCTTTCAAAACAACACAACTCTTTCAGTCCAAACACAGAAGCATTTTGAGGCACACTGCACTGGACAAAACAAGATTGCGTGGGAATGCAGAGGGGGAAAGGCAGCCAGCCCTGCTGAAGCAGTGGGCTCGTGACCGCGTGCATTTGCGTAGCACTTTGTATTGACAGATTGTTTGTGGGGGAGTGGTAGTAACGATTCTCCCTTCAGCTGAAATAGAAATGATGCAAAGACAAGTCAGTTTATTTGCTTGGGACCCTTAGTGGCCTAAGCAAGAAACAAGCTCCAGGAAACTTCCTTTGCTGGTTTCCATCCAATGGACTATAGATATTCTCCTGTAAAGCTGATGGCAGCTAGACCTATTTCATGCAAATCTGAACGAGCAATAAATATCTGTAAGTCCAAACACGCACTAGGCTGCAGTTCTAAAACCTACTGAAACATGACATTTTTTTTTTAATGTTTTCCACATGCCTGTTTGTGGTATAGATCGTCTGCTGTGGCTATAAAAACAAAACACATTCAAATAAAAACAGCAGATTCCACTCCGCCAAGACAAACAGCACCAAGTGCTGTCGCTTGTTTCAGTATCTCCTCCAAGAGGGTAAGTATTTTCTACCCTCTTGTTTCTAGCATTTGTACGGGTCTAGCTGCAAACCAGGAACCATCCCAGTCTTTGCAGGAACAACTCCCAAAGCAACCACCACAGGCAGTTCCAGTTACCTAACTCTCCTCATGGCAGCAAGGGGCCTCCTCCTAGCACCTCTGGATGGCTGGGGCAGGGGATGAGGAAGGCAGGAAGGGTAAAGAACAGGTCTTTTTCCATGTGGAAGGTCTAATAGCAGCTGGGCACCTGGGGAATTGGACTTTGTGGCTTCTGAGGCTGGAGAGGGCCTGGGCACCTGTTCTAGGAGGTATCTATCCTGTGAGTAGCTGCACTGCAGAAAAAGCTGCTGGAAAATGGGATGCTTGGCAGTCCTCTTCAGTGCCGTCTGACTGCACCTCACCAAGGGACTGACTAACTGGGAAGTGTCTTGAAAATACAGAAGTGCTAAGTATGAGTATTACTGCCAAATGTACTGAATGCTGCTAGAAGCTCACGGTGCTGAGTTGATTTCTAAGCCACCTGGTACAGGTTTCTAGCAGTCATCCACAGGGTGAAATGGGTGAACTTCCCCGAACTTTCCCTTGAAGCTAATGAAAGTCCTGGCAAGCCAAGCTGCCTCGGGCCAGCACAACAGCTCTGTCAGCCAAATTCGCATCCAGGCAGGGATTAATCATGTGGGCAGAGGAGAGAAGTTATTTTAACAGGAGAAAAGGTAAGGATGCTAATAAATAGGTGACTGGTGAGCTGGTATTAACTGTGACCTCTAAACAGGAGGTGGAAAGCGTGTCCAGTCACACAATGCATTTCGGACTCAGCTCTGAGCTCAGTCTGCTCTAATTTAACACACTTTCTGCCCCTAATACTACAAACTAAGACACAGTTTCTGTTTTCTCTGTCATCTTTGACGTGTGCACAGGCACCTACCAAATCACGGCTCTTTCTAGGGTTCGATAAACATGATTTTCATCAGCAAAAGAGCCCTGTGCTTGGCCCTGGCTCTCCCCCACACAGACAGACACGGATGATGGAAGATCTTTGCAGCTGAGGACTTGAATAAACCACTCTGGGATGTGTCTGCTGCAAAAGCAACGTGGGGGAGAGGAGAGCCCAGCTCTCTCCATTCACTGCAGCTGCACTGAAATAAACGTTTAAAGACCCAAAGTATACTTTAGTTTGTTCACAGGATTCATGAATTTGGATAACAGAAGAATCCCTAAAGAAACATACAGATTATAGCCACTAACAATCATTCCGATATCTTACTTGCTCCTTGTTAAAACCAAATTTCACTCGAGGATTGCTGTGGGACTATTATGAGAAAGATGTGTAAAATGAGCAGATGCAAAGCTTAGTGCACAGGTCAAATAATTCAAAGGAAGGAGCCTAATGAGCTCTCTACTCTTCAGCCCCCAATTCTTAACGACTGCTTGAAAAATTATGTTCACTGGGTTCATATCTCTGGGTATTTCCAAGGCAATTTGTACACCTTCATTTATGTCACACAAATTTGTCATTGACTGGCCCAAAATTTACATAGGGAGAAAGCCTTACACGCTTCTCAACAATTCAGGAATTCAGCAATCAGTCACTCAAGCATTCATCAGCTTCAGCTGGTATAAATTGTGGCATTATCTAAAATTCATCTGTCTTTATTATACCCTGCTACAAAGGAAACAAGAAATCTAAGTGTGCCCATCCAGCAAACAGCAGCTTGGTCCCACAAAAGAGAGAGATAATTTACTGCAAAATCAACAAAGGGAAAAAGAGCTGAGCAGAGAAGCTGTGTTGCATGGACAGGGAGAGAGAGGCTTTCATTTCAGGACTGCTCATTAGCATTGTATAGAAAGCTGGGTTGCAGGATTTCAACACATGCCTGCCTCTTCTGGGTCTCATAAATCATCCAGCAATATAATTCCCAGTTAAATAGAGCTCTCACTTATTTCTTCTGAAATAAAAGGACACATGTCCAGGGTTTGGAGGTGCTGTCAGGTAGTTTGTTTGTAAAGGAGTAATTGCACAGATTCCAGGGAAAAATGCACACAGTATTCCTTCTGATTTATCACTGTATTTTCATTACTATGTACCTAGCAGGGAATCGTGACACAGGCTGCAATATAGGGCAATGCACATGATATTACAACAAAGGAATTGTGAAATAAATCAGCAATCAAAGCTGCTGTATAAAGTCCTGGTTTTCAGAAGGTTCAACCCGGTGCAAAAGTGTGGAGGAATCAGGGTTTTTATAGAGACTATCTGTTATTTAGCTAAATAGTGCAACGCTGCAATAATACACTGTGCTTGTGAGCGCCAGGGACTGAAGCCCATGGAAAGATGGGTTTATAAGACACCCCTCCATCCCAGGAGGATGAAAGAGTTGAGCAGCTCTGTGTTTCATTACCCTTTGACCCCTTTCCTCAGTGTGGTCATGGGGAAGCAGAGCAGGAGAGCTATTCTGAGAGAATGAAATTCCCTTTCCCAAAGCCGTGTGGGACCCATTTCCCAGAAGGGAACCTTGCTGCCAGTGCCCCAAGCACACGCTGGGAAAAACAACGTCCAGGCACTGGCCACAAACCAGCACGGGCCCATGGGTCAGGTTCACCCTGTGAGTGCCTCCAGCCACCCCAGCTGCTGGGGCACAAGGGACACAGAGCGTGGCTGCTCAGGCTGCATGAAACCCGGCTGGCTGCAGCTGCAGGCAGCTCGGTGCTTTGCAGCTGCAAACCGTGGCCACCCTGCCTGCCTGCTGCTCACCTCCAGCTGGCAAAACCCAGCAGCCTGCTGCAACGCAACCCAAAGTGACATCTGTGCCCCGCGCACTGAGCCACCACGCAAAAAGCATATAAAGCAAAGGAAACCTTGTTCCCTTGGCACCCTCCTGGACTGTACACACAACAAATTATAATTTTCATTGATAGAGATTAATTTGTGTGGGAACTGGGACAGAGACAGAAAACATCCTTCCTTGTGCAAGGGGCTAAGAAATGCAGGCCAAAAGGTTTGGTAATGTGAAGGATCGGGACAGTTTGGGTTCTCACACCAACTGTGGCTGCTCCTGCCTCATTTCTATGGGGCCTTCACAGAATCACAGAATTTCTAGGTTGGAAGAGACCTCAAGATCATCAAGTCCAACCTCTGACCTAACACTAACCAGTCCTCCACTAAACCATATCCCTAAGTTCCACATCTAAACGTCTTTTAAAGACTTCCAGGGATGGTGACTCCACCACCTCCCTGGGCAGCCCATTCCAATGCCTAACAACCCTTTCAGTAAAGAAGTTCTTCCTAACATCTAACCTAAACCTCCCCTGGCGCAACTTTAGCCCATTCCCCCTCATCCTGTCACCAGGCACATGGGAGAACAGGCCAACCCCCACCTCACTACAGCCTCCTTTAAGGTACCTGTAGAGAGCGATAAGGTCGCCCCTGAGCCTCCTCTGCTCCAGGCTGAACAAGCCCAGCTCCTTCAGCCACTCCTCGTAGGACTTGTTCTCCAGGCCCCTCACCAGCTTCGTCGCCCTTCTCTGGACCCGCTCAAGCACCTCGATGTCCTTCTTGTAGCAAGGGGCCCAAAACTGAACACAGTACTCGAGGTGCGGCCTCACCAGAGCCGAGTACAGGGGGACGATCACCTCCCTAGCCCTGCTGGCCACACTGCCTAACTTGAGGGTGGATTGTGCTTCATGCATTCCTAAGTTGCTGAAAACCATTTTTATCCACAACACAGCAAAGCAGGGGTTATGTTTACTCACAGAGTCCTCAAGGGAGTTTGAAACTGCAACTGCAACTCTGCAACTAAACCAGCTGCAGAGCCCTCCCCAGACACTAAACACAAGGGCAAAAATACACCAAAGGCACCAATGCCAAAGAGCCATGCTTGGGGACTATCCTGAGGGTTCAGGTAAGAAGCAACACCTGTCCATGGTTCCAGACAGGAGTCCAGCTGGGAACCCTCCCCAGCTAACCCTTTCTGAGAGGCACAAAAAAAACACTCTGCGACTTCCAGAAAATCAGAGAGAGAGAAATCGATACCCTCTCCTCCTGGCTCAGGTCTTACTCCGCAATCAGCAGGCAGCTCAGCCTTGGTTACCACTTGCAAGCACGAAAGGGTTAAGGAGAACCTTGCACAAACTTTGCTGCGAGCTGAGCTCGCAGCCTCCCTCCCTTCCCTCCTCGCTGCCGAGATGCAGCAGCTCCGGAGCTCTCCCGATCCTCTCTGCTCTGCCTGCTGCCTGCCGCTGCTGAGGGAGGGGACTGCCTGCCGCACGCTGCCTCCATCCAGGCGGTGAAGCACACGAAGAGAAGTCTCCTTGCCCCTTCTCCTGCTGCCTGCGAAGGAAGGGCTTCAGCACTGGGGCTGCTGGGTCAGTCAGTTGCCATCTCAAGACCTGGAGTAAGAGCCACCCCTGCCAGCAAACCATGTGAATTCAAGAGCAGAGAAGAAAGTGCGTTTGGCACGCCTGTTGCTTAAAAGGCAATATCCTGACTCCAGCAGTAAGACAACAAACCTTTCCTGCATAAATCCCACTACCTGGGCGGAGATGTTCCTAGATAAATCACCAGCAAGCTCATGGTGTGAAACAGCTGCTCTAGTGCCTAGTCCCAACACCCCTGCCTGCTCTGAAAGGTAACTATGCTTTATTCTGTTCTCTTCCTATGCACTCTCACAGCTGAGACCCTGACATCCTACCTTGCACTTCAGCATGAGAACAAAAAACACCGCCCGCCACTGGAAGAAGAGACACCCCTCTCTTTCCTCTCCCTCAGATCCTCCCTGGAGAAAATGCAAGCCAGGAACAGAATTGATACTTTAATGCTTTGTTTGCATTTCTTCAATGCTATTTTTAATTTAAAGGTCACCTAGACATAACACACCCGGCACTGCCTGTGTTCAGAAAGAAACCTTTCTGCACTTGTCAGCACAGAGCAGTTTAAATGAACAGCCTTGGAGTATCGTTCTCTTCTGTCCCACTTTATTCTTTGTAGCAGTTTTAGCGTTGGGTGGAAATGCAAAAGGGAACTCGGAAAAGTTGCTTGTACTTTCAAAGATGCCTTGCTAGCAAGTGACACTTAAACTGAATACAGGAGTAAAAGGAAGGGAGTAGGCGAGACGAGACATTTATTGTAGTTGCAAAATCATTTTGTGTTGTCTGCACTGTTCTGGGGAAAATCTTCCTTTCTCTCTGCTCCTCTATGACCTACAAGGTGCAGAGGGGCCATGCAGGCTTCCTAAGAACAGGCCAGATCTTGAGAGCTCCTGATGTTCCCCAAACCCTGCTAGCTGCAGAGGGAGGATGGTAATTTCAATGCCCTGAAGTTTTGGTTCACAAATTTGCTGTCTCAGTGAGACACACACTAGAGAAAACTTACTGTTGTTTTGTTTAGGACTTCTATTTTCATTACTGTCTTTTTATTAAATGAAATACGTTGTGTGTTCTTGTGGTGTTGTTGTTGTTGTTTAATCCCTGCTTAAAAATGAGAACAAACTGCTAAATAAGTGTCTGCTTGGAATCAATCTGTATCTGCTGAGCATTACTGAGCACTAGTGGTGCTTGGCACTTCTCAGAAATGGATGTATTGTCCAGCCAGAGAAGAATGATTAAGCCTTCATCAACAACTTGGATCATGGGGAATTTGGGCTCTAGTTATGCTGCTCTGCTCTATGCTAAACCTCTACTTATTACCTCTGGCCATGGACTAGGGGGCTTCTCGGGGTACCCAGGGAGGTTTTGCCTCCAGTATTCTGAGTCATACAAAGTTCTAATGGCAACCTGCTTTACACACAGGTTTTTCAAGGTCTTTGTGTACCCACTTATGTTCACATGCCATTGGTCTCTATGGTCTTCAAGCTTACATTCCTTACTGGGGAGTGTGCAAATTTGAATCTACTAATATCCAAAAAGATACACTCACTGAGATAATTGGTAGACTGAAAAAGCAAAAATCTTTGGGGTTGCCTGGAGCTACTGAACTATTTCTGGAAATGATGTAGTTAATTTCACAGCTTTCAATAGCCTGAATAGTTAATTGCTCCTGATAATTCTACAGTTGAGACTACAAAAAATGAAAGCTGTGCCAACTCCCCATTGCTAATACTTTCTACTATTAATCTGCGCCCTTTATTAATAAGAGCCCAGTAGAGCTTTGTTAATTCAAGGTCTTGGTTTGTAGTTAATTATTGAACTTAAGATTAATGTCCCTCGCATTCTGCAGCCTAATGTTATGAAGTAAAGCCATTAGGCTCTCTGCTCCTTAAGGAGTGAAACCAGCTCTGGCTTTTGCTCTCAGTAAGACGGCAGATGAGATGGGCAAGGGCATTGCTCTGCACTTTAACTCATGCATATGTCAGATTCCAGACTGGCTACATTTCATTATAAATAGAGAAATCATACTGTAAGAACACAGCTTTAATATGGCCAGTAACCTTCATACCCTCTAATTTCCACTTTCTGTATAACACAAGAATAGTCCTCGTGAGGCAACAATCTTCATTTAGATATGCAAAGGGGGAAAATCACAGAATTAAGATGTATTGCTCTATAACCGAGAGCCAAAGTGCTTGACCTTCACCTTCATGTCCTCCCACTTCTGCCTCAGCACTAGACCTGCTGCTGGAGTCAATGCCGCAGATGATATAACAAGGTCGCAAGAGTTTTGCAGACACGGATCCCTTTTCATTTTGCTCACTGCTGGAGATCTTGAGACCAGACAAAGAGACTACAAAACCTCCACAACCCGTATCTCTGAAGGCTCAAGCACACTTACCACTTGCTCTGTCACTGTCACACTGCAGGGCAGTGTCATACAGCACCCATACGGGTGCCTGTGTCACCAAGAGGCAGAGGGCTGTGGGGGCCCAAGCTGCACCTTCAGTTCACAAGCCCGGTCTCTGGGTTCAGCACAGACATACCTCTGGGACCTCTAGACACACGGAAGGCGAGGCATCCACACAGGCACATAGGGCAGAGCTCTCATGCTTCCATTCACCCCCAAAGTACACTTTGCGCTACCTCTCTCCACCCTAGCTGTGAATTCACTTGCACAACCAACTACCTCCACCTTCCATTTCTTACATTAGGAACGTGTTGCACGTCTCCTCTGATCAGCTAAAGAGATTAAAATGGCCACCAAGTTCTTAATAGCTGTATTACTAACTAATTACAACATTCTTGTGGACACCTTTCTTGCTTATAACCTAGCATTATCACGGTAAGGCTTCCATGATAACGTTTCTGAGTCACAGGTGACTGGTTACTTCATGTTTGGGGTTGCACATCTAGGAAAACAACCATCTTGAAAGACTAGGAATACTCCAGTATAAACCAAATACATCTAATATACCTGAAGTATTTTATTTTAAAGCACCCAAAGTCACCTGCAGAAAGGAATCACTGAAATCTGAGGATGTTTTTATTTGGCTCAGTCTGATAGAGCTGTGGCTGGGTTATTAATCTGTTTGCCCTTTATCCTGAAAACAGTTGTTTGGAGAAATCACCAGAAGATGTTTGAAGTGTGTACAGGAGGGAAACCCCAAACTAAACCTCAGTACATCCTGACTGAAGCTTTCAAACTTAAAATCCTTCCACACTGTTCAGCAGCAAGCTGAGCCTTTTGAAACAAACGTTTCTGTGAATATTCTAGATTTGGATGGGCTGGCAATTTCTTGCCAGTAACCTCCCCTCCACAAAAAAAAAAAGAAAAAAAAAAAAAAAGCATTTTTTTTTTTAAACAGTACTGTACTTGTTTTCTCTGTGTATTCTGTAAACCTTATTTTCTGGAGAAGTTTATGATCTGCACATAAAAAACATGCTTTGGCTTGGATTGCAGCACTTGCTGCAAACATGCAATGCACATGGGTTACTTCAGTTTTTCTAGCAAAAACAGGTGTTGCCGAATATAGGCACCCTGACAACCCGACTGTTATTTGCCCAAGAGAGTTTAAGGGGAGATTTTTCAAACATAGCTAGGGGATTCTTGAAGTGCAAATCACATTGATGATGCCAGAATGCTTCTTGAAAATCAACCTCTCATTTCCATTGCTCCCCTTTCTCATTCCAGTCCTGCATGATTCATGTCTGCTGGAGACTGCACCTGATCGATCCTGGTCAGATAGTTTAGACGTCATGGCCCAGGTTGATAGACTGGAAGTATACAAGCATTGACTTTGGTAGAAGATGTGCTAAAGGGCCCTGCCTAAGCCACAGATTCTTCTTTTCAATTCCCCACTTTTTAAGGTTCCAAAAGTGTTGGGTCAGGCCCCGGAAAAATACTAAGCACCCCTCTTCTGCTGTGCTTGCTTACACCCTCCTACAGAAAGTACAGCACAAAATCCACTGCCCGTGCAGAAGTCAAATCCCCAGGCAATGTTTTCCATCAGCAATTTGGCCCAGCCTAGCGAGCCTATTACCAAGCACTATTCCCTAAATTGGCCCGATATTCCCTAAATAGGATTGTTGTCCTCTCAAATGTTTTGATACTCAAGAAGGTAAGTTGGAAGGTAAAAACAGAGTAGACAGCTCCCAGCATCCCTCCTCCAAAAGCTCAACACAACAGATGTTTCCCCATCACATGAACCAAAGTTGGTCTGTCTTGCTTGTAATGAAAGCCTGAAAATCAGCTCCCTGATGACTCAGGCCTCCAGATTTCAACCACCTCCCTCTGAAGAACAGCAAGACATTGGTGCATGGGGAGAACTGAACCAAGCTTTGTCAATAAAACATCTATATTTTAGAAACTGAGGGCCCATCAAAGTAAAAAATGGTTTGCAGCAATGTGTCTTTTGGGTGAAATAAAAGCATCTGAGCTTTTGTCATTTTGACCTAAGGTCTCATTTTAATCTGACTGCCACAATATGTTACCACATTAATATTAATCTATTTATATCTCATGTAGGTGTGTACATAGTGAGCATTACAAATGACTGCATCACGTTGTTTCAGTGCTATCATTTTTGCTTCAGCTAAGAATGAAATTCTGGTCTTATCAAAGCAGAACACGATGCTTTTTGTTTACAGCGAAATTTCAGCATTTAGGTTTTCTCTTCCCAGCTGGAAGAAAACACAGCACTGACAAGATAAGATTTCTGTTATGTTCTGCTGCCAGGGGTGACTGAAGTGTTGTGTCCAGGGGCAGGGAGGCCTCAGTGAGCCACGGAGGGCTCTGGCTGCCTGCTGAGTGCACCCTGGAACAGAAACAGGGGTCCTGTTAAGTAGTAAGAAACACACGGTGGAGGACTCTGGATAGATTCATGTCTTCCCTTCTTCTCTGACATTTAATTCCATAGACTGTAGGGCCTCTTTTTGCCCATGAGTAAGAAGTAAGTATTACCAGAGGATACTTTAACATTTAAATTTGCATGGTCTTTCTCTAAAATTAAAGGCTGAGTGCTTCTGGGTGGCTCACAGGAGCGTAACATGGGATTTAACTCCTTTCTTACCCAAAGACAGCACATATAGGCTAGGCTATTTTGGTACATAGTTTCATTTCTCTCTCTCTCTGCTTCTTCCTTCTAGAAAGACAACTTGTTGACTATTCCTAAGGAGAAGCTCAAAACTATGTATTTTAAGCAAGTGTCAGTAACCTAAAGTGGATTAGGAGAGAAAAGATTGCAACCTTCCTCGGCTCATACAGGGGTAAACCACCTGCTGTGGGAGAAGCTGCAGAAAGCTCACTCTGGAGATGACCTACTGAAAGAAGGACCTGAGCATTTTCAGGACAAAAGAGAAGCTTGGTGGCAGTGTAAAACACAAGTTTTGTGCCTGTTATCATTGTAAGAGCATCTTGAAAAATGATTTACAGAGCCCCGTCTTATGCAGTCTGCTTAACTCTGTGAAACAGTTGTGAGACCAAGAAGATGGAGCATTCCTTGCTGAATCCTACTAAGAAGATGTCCTGCCATCTGTTCTAAGTCTCCTCTCTTGACCTGCTTTTAGTCTGGTGAGGTAAGACGTGAAATTTGACAATAAATCGGGAAAATGGACCAAAGCTGACAGAGAGCGATGACTGAGATTTATTTCAAATTCCGTGGAAACCTGACTGGCCGTGTCCACTTTCCAACGCTGGCTACAGAAGTAGACACAACAGCAGATAAATATGCCAGCCTGTACATTTACGTGGGGTTGTTCTTAACACTTCTGGCTATCCTTCTCATTTTGCTTTTCACCATGCTTTTGCGCCTAAAGCATGTTGTTTCTCCAATCACTACATCTCCAGAGAGCACTGAGAATGCTCAGCAGTTCACAGATGTGGAAATGCGCAGCAGGATTCCTACAACTTAGAGACCCCAATGCAAAGAAGGCTCTGTGTTTGTGAAACATATTTTGTTCAGCACAATTGGGGTGGAAAGAATCTCTGTGTGCCTGTTGAGCCCTACAACTTATTGCACAACCATCAACAGCAGCATAGAGCAGCTGGTGAGTGTCATGCAACTCAGACACTGACTGGCTGGGACACACTGGCTGTTGACACTACAGGCAACATGTGTGCAACACCCTCAGTAAAATTTACATTATGGAAACCTACTGCTGTCAACAGACTCATATCCCTCTAAAAGTCCTTGTAGAAAATTGTAAAAGTCACAAGAATGACAGCAAATATATGTATATACAAATAGAAAACAGAGAGATTCATACCAGAATGTGTGCTGGACCCTGTATTTGGTGGCCTATCTTTCTGCCTTTAAATTCCTTGGCTGTGAAAAGAGATGACTCAACAAAGTTAAGTGATGTAACTGCAAAAAGCCTATTCAAATGAAGAGCACATAAAGAAATGATCAGTGGTTCAGAAATTCTCAGACATTTCTCCCATTCAGGAAGGAAAACCTTAAACTGCTTAACTGCTTTTTTTTTTTTTTTTTTTTTTGCCGTTATTTTTTTTTTTCCACTTGAATGGCAGATTTGCACAACAGAGTTTCAGAAGTATACAAATGGTTCATCACCTGCTGGATCTATTGGTTTCTGACATTAAACACCATACATTGAGCAGTTGCATCCCAGATATCAGAAAGAGATGTTGCTTTTGAAAGAAGAAAATAAAAGTAAACTTTACCAAAGGTATAAAATAAAAAGAAAGCATCAGCAGAAAATGAGCAGCAGTAGAGAAAAAATATTAAAAGACACCCTACCTCTCTTTTCTTGCTCTCATTTATATTCACTGAGCTGACTACAGACACATTTGTATCTTTCAGCCTTCCCAGTATCACTCAGTAATTAAAATGCAGTGTAAAGTTTGTGAATCAAACGGGCATTGTTCTCCTAACAGACACAAATTCAGAATAACATTTCCTCTCATATTCATGTTGGGTTTTCTGTCTCAAAACACATATCAGTTCTTCCAAAGCTTTTTTTAGTTGTTTTCCTCCAAAGAAAGCTGAAGAAATGCCAGGACCTGGCACTACAATAATGAACAGTGTGAACAGCTTTGGACATAGTCTAGTAGGGAACATGCAGATGGAAAGCAAACTGAGCACTGAAAGACAGGGCTGGATTCAGATATCCTGGTGGCTCGTTTGGAACAGTGAGGAAAAAAATGATTACTTAAATTTATGGAACAACAGCCTGACCCAATGCTCTCACCCATGAAAGATGTACAAAGGTAGGCTTCGTTTCTGTGGATAGGAAAGATGGAATCAAATATGGCATATCACTTCTGGAAGAGCTGCTACCTCTTACAGAAAAACTTCAAATTAGATTGTTTCTGCTATACCTCTGGTACTTTCCACATTTCTATGCACTTTTTTGCCAATTCCCTCCTCTCCAAAGGCCTGGGAAATGTACACGCCCCACAAAAAAAAAGTGCTAAAATTAGAGATGACACTGACTCCATGGTCTTGTGATAGTAACAAAAACTTGTTTTTCAGATGCTTTGTGTACACCTGTTTTTACCTTTAAAAGTCTGTGAGCTGTTTGGACTAGAAACATGGCTTCTTTAGCTGGTTCTGTGGGGACAACAGAACATCAAGGAACATCCATACCACCTATTGTTGGTCCATGGGGAGGAGGACTAGTTTTTTTTCAATGATGTATTTAGTATGAAGATACTTTAAAACTGCTTCCTCATATTGAATAGCACCATTAATTCCCACATAAGGTTTAATCTGTGAAATAGCATGTTGACTGTGCAAGGAAAATATAGCACACTTGTGGCTTCACAACCATACTGGTGGCTTCATGCTACTCTCAGCACTGTACAAGAGCCCAAATTCTGTGTGATGACGATTTGAATATTAATCCACCTAAGCCAGATGGCTACTAAGTTAGTCAATGACATTTAAGTGTAACAGAAACATATGCAGATCATATGGCCTGGTATGTATCCTGCATTCAGCCATCAGGGTGCAGACTAGCTCAGGCTCAACATCTGGCTTGCCTCTCAATTTTCTTGATGCACAATTTGAAAGCTACAGCTTACTTGAATCATTAATGAACTATCATATCAAATCAGCATCTAAAACACATTAACCTTTCAGCACAACTATCTGTAGAAAAGCTTTATTTCCAAGAAGCTGCAGGACAGATTCATATATTAACAAAAAATATCAGGCCCACTAATAGAAAATGATAGTATCAGAATCGGAGCTGGGATCCGCATTCTGATTGCTCTGGTCTCAGCTGAAAAGCCCCTAAAAGTAGGTGTCAGGATTGGGTTTTTGCCTTCTGTTAATTCAGAAGACACCTTTAACTGTTTAAAACTCATTCAATAAATGTATTGTAAACAAAATAGCAATCATTTTGATCTATCATTACACTGTATCACATCATATATTAGGCAAACTGTATTTCTATACAATACTACAAAAGAAGGCAGTCCTATCTTCTAAGACAAAAATGGCAATTTTTCCTCGGTAAAGCTCCATTTCAAACACTCCAACTTGATACGTCCACAGTCCCAGAGTGCATCATTTGTCTGCACAATGTTAGCAAATTTTAAAGCCTACATTTCCCATTTAAAAACAGAAGCGTGCCTTTCCCCCGTTTTCATTCTCATTTGTAAAGTTGAAGATATGGTGCCTCTGAGAAAAGACTTGGGGCGTTTTGCTCTGTGTTTGCTGAGTGGGCTTTAGCGGGCTTTGGCTTTCTTTGGCTACAAGAATGGTAACTGTAACTTCTGCATGGATTTTTCTGGGTCTGTAGATGTGACATCTATACCATTTCCCTCCACCGGTTTGTTTCCTTTCCACTTACCCATCTGCTAGAGACAATCAATTGGTTTTTTATTTTTACAAAAATAAGGAGTTGTACTACAATCAGTGGTGAGTCACTGACTGCTCTGTACTATTTCCAGAATGCACTCAATGTGTGGATCTGAGAGAAAAGCTTATGTGCAGATATTGGCTCAGGTGGTGCCATAGATTTCAAATTAATTGTTGGCCTCAGGGGGCATCTCTGTAAGAAGACCCCCTATCAGTGTTTGTACGTAGTACTTGAACAAAGACAGTTTGCTACCATCTTTGCTACAATTTAGACAGGAAACAAATATGATTATTTAGTAAATTCATCACCTCCTCCATCCTGCACCTGTGGGGGAAGACAGCCACCTGTTGTTCTGAAGGAGCAGCAATTTGCATTCCTGTTCCTTGGGGGTGGGACTGTGAGGTCAGGGTAAACCTACAAGCACCAGAAAACCACCTCCGCTCCCAAATCTCCCAGGGCATTTCGTCCAGGAGGTACCAGGACTCCTCCCACACTTTTTGACTACAGTGTAACTCCGCAGACCACATATATGCCACAGGATTTATGCTCGGGTAATCCCATCCACATGACTTCTATCCATGTTCATGACTATCCTGCGTTAACAAACCCTTGAATACTGAGCAGACAGGGATGGTATTTAGAATATATTCATTTTCTGTCAGAATATATAAACATAAACTTATATTATCATATCCTCACAGGGCTGCAGAGAAGAATGTAATTTTACTAACAGCATAATTCAGCTGAGTTATGACCTTTGGGCCCCCCAAAGGATATTTTTTTGCTTTTACTTGAAATAAGATAAAAAAGTATAGAAACCCAAAATTGATGTGAAGTTACACATCCATTTAACTGTCAGCAATGATGAAAACTTACTTGTATGTCTTGTCTACACCAGAAAAATTGCTGAAGTTCATTCTGTAAGCATAGATATAAGAATAAACCCTGGAGGGGAAAAAAATAAAAAAAAAAGGAGAAAAAAAAAAAAAAAACTACTGATAAATCGGTTCCTTGCACACTTGATCTCTAAAATTCTCTATATGCAAATTTCCCCTCAGTCCCTTGATAACGGAGAATGGGGGACAGTTGATGCTACGTGTGAAAAACAGTCCTATACTGATTTTGAATTTTGATAACTTGGATTTATCAGATAGCATAAATAAGTTGTCCAGACATAGGCAATGCTGAGTTGTGAAAGCAGATCTTGATGTAACAGGGAGAGGTCTGTCCAATTCATATGTAATTAATAAATTACACTCTCTATTCTCTCACCTGAATTTCATTTCTATGTAAACTTGTCAACAGAGAAACAAATTATGAATAATTCAGAAGACCTTTCCCTCCCTTCCTTCTCCTCTAGATTTATTAACCCATTTTCAAAGTATAATTTGATCAAGCTAATAGCCACAGACTTCCGAAACTGACTCTCTCTACATTAATCCTGTCTTCAAGATCAAAGTCCTACTCACAGAGTCCCATTTAACAGCAATCGATTAAGGTACAACATAGAGGCACCTGCAAGTCAAATGAGACCTCAGCAAATTTCTTTGTTACTTAAAATCTGCTCTCCACTAGCAAGAAATTTCTCTTATTTAATCTTGGCTGTTGTCCTGAAGCTCTTTCCTCTTCTAGTTGTGAAACACTTGCACCTCAATAGCTACTGGCTGATGTTTACTCGTGGTTTTATGAAGAACACACGTACCTACCAGCATTACAGAAGGATCACGTAGCTAGCACCTATCTGTGATGTTCCTATGTACCCTAGGCACCCTTGTGAGCTGACTTTAGATGGACAAGTTCTTCTTTAAAAGGCAGGGAACATTCAGAAGCAAATGGGACTTTGAACTGTGTAGACAAGTGAGTGTGGAGGTAGGGCTCCACTTACAGGAAAACGTAAAGCCACGAGCTGGATTTGAATGTATCACAGGCTTTTTGACATTTCGCACCACCTTCCCACTCTTCGTCCCATGTCCCTTACATATCATGCACATATCAGAATCCTGTCTTTGTCTCAGAACTCATGGGTAGGTGTTTCCAGTACTATGGTAGCAATGAAATGACTTTTCTATGTGAACCTGTAATACTAGTTTGAAAAACATAGACCTTGGTGCCAAATGCTGAAGCAAAATTTACAAGGAAGATCTCCACTTTATTCCTTTTGCCTTAATTCAAACTAATTCAACCCTAATTCAGCCTAATTCATGCTCATTGCAGTTAATGTGCAGCACTTTTTATAATGTTACTCCATAATCTTTAATTTACCAGGAACCTGTCCAAATAGCTGTGGCAGGACTAGGAGGTAATGGCCCAGGAAGCTCGCATCTGAGTCAGGAGGAGGCTGCTCACTGGCAAATCTTACAGCTTGTCACAACAGAATCAAACTGATGTGGGTTTGCTGTTGTTCTCAATTTTTTTTTCATGCTTCCACAGCTTGGAAAATCTCAGAACAGCCCTTTTGGTGCTGACTTTGTCAGCATATGGAGTCCAGGTGATAACAGTGTACCAGTTCGCACTTACTTCACGTTGGCACCTAGTGGGAAAGAAATGTGACTTGCTGTTGTTGAAAGCATCCAGCAAAACAGAGAAAGGAAAGAGAAGCGTTCCGAATGCCTTTCATTTTGCCTAAGGTTGTGCCATGTTACATCCCGAATTTCAAAGCTGTTTACTGTACAACATAACCAACACTGAAGGGACAGCTGACAAATACAGCACAGCAATATTTGCCATATGCACAACTGCAAGCTGCTCTGGAAGGAGCCCCTGTGATCAGAATACTGAGGCTGCTTTCCCTTTGTTTGACTTACAACTATGCATCAATTCCCTACCAGATACACCATAGCCCCACTGCTCTACTAACCTCCACCCTCAAACTGCTCAGTAAGGATTTGCATCTCCATTAGCAGGAGGCACCACAGAGCACTCATGACAAGCTCAGCTGGCATCAGGCTGAATAATAACTCACAGCAAAGCAATTTGGAAAAGATACCCTGACAGAGCATATACTTTGCCTGGTTTAGAATTGTTAAAATACCTCCAAATGAATACCATTTTAGTGGAAATTCAGTGTTTTCAGTGCCCATGCTGGACAACAGAAATAACAAAGAGATTAGGAAGAACTGATTTGGCTTTGAGGTAGTGGGTTGAACCAGATGTCTTCTTGAAGGCCCTTGTCTATAAAGCTGCCTTCCTTATCCATGAGCAAGTCACAGTTCAGGCATAATGCTTGTAGACAACACCTTTAAAGTTGGTGTCACTCCTGTCAATTAAAGGCTTGAATAAGCCTCTGCATTTTATGAATACTGATTAGTTCAGCATCATTGCCTCTTTTTTTTCTCCTGCTGAGGAAACTCGAGATCGCGGAAATGGCTCACACCTCACGGGCAGCCAACAGAGTAAGATACACACTAAATACTTACAATTAAAACTTTAGCTCAGAGTGTCCATTTTATGCAGACACACAAGTATCCATAACACAAACAGCAATCCTTGAAATAGACATGCAAAGCAAAGGAAGGTCTGTTACGGGTAGATGTGTTCACAGATGTGTGGCTTTAGCTTTCTCCCACTGTATGTTTTACTCATGATTCAGCTCTGAATTCAAGAACAGGCAGAAGAGCCACACAGTGGCACTCTCAGAAACAAAAACAACTGTGGAATCAATTATTCTCTTACTGGCAGAGATGATCTTTTTGGTACATTGCCTGTGGTTGCTTAGATTTTAGCTAATCTTGACATATGCAGCCACCACAAGTAACTGCACAAACCTTCATACGTCTCCCCTATGGGGATAAAGCAGAGTCATACCAGCTGGGAAGGGATGGTGTGGTTGCAGAGGGTACTAATTTCTTATTTGTTAGAGCAATGTGACCTCTCTCGCAGCAGGCAATAGACTCTGAGACACCAGCAGTAGCCAAACCAAACGAAAGAGTCAATGTTACACTGTCAGCCAAAGACTTTGGAATGCAGACTGACTATGAGATTATTTTTATAAGTACAACCTGCTTTGAGAAATTCTCTTTCAACAAGCAGTTCCTTGCATTTTGGCCAGGTACAGCAAACGGGACTCAGCTGTCCATGGTTTGTCTGTGATTGCTCCATGTGCTTTTCCTTCCATTTATCTTTGGATATCACTGTGTCAACCACTTAAGAAAGAACACAGGAAATTGTCAGCAAAAAAATATCTAAATAAGTTTTGTGCTCTTTGAATGCAATTTAAAGGTAAAATGAGAAGCCAACCAGCTTCCCTGGACTGTTATTTCATGCTCTGACTTTGGGGTTATTGAGATGGGAAGACCTCGGAGTTGCTAAACTTTGTCTGCTTTCTGGAGATTTTGCCTTTGTGCATGTATAAATCACCTCAGTTGTTTCCCTCAAGGAAAGACAAACATGGCAAACAAATGTCTCCAAGGACAGGAAGCAGTGAGAGCTGTTGTCTGTCTCTCAGGTGATTAGTTCCAGCTATACAGGGTTTTCACTTCCCCAGGTATCATCTTTCAACAGTAATCATCCTTCTTTTTTTTTTTTCTTTTTAGTAGACCAACC